CTACTCCTGTCCCCACCCACACAACCACTAATCAGCTCTGGGGTAAGGGTGCTTCAGGCCAGCCCTCTGGCAGTCTGCCCAACTGACAGTGAACTGAAATTGGGGTGGGGAAGCAGAATTCCAGAAAACAGGCTTATTATCAAGGCCTCGCAACTGAGTTGACAGCAGAGAAACTGAAATGGGAGCTGCATTTTCCCATTCCCCATGCAGAAAGCGAAGGAGAAAACATCTATAGGCCCAGATGTAATTAAATTGTTTCCACTCTCAACCAAAAAGAGCAGAAAAGTGGCTGTGAGGGAAGTCTCCTCAGAGCATAGCTGGTCACCAACCAGAGGCCAGACTGGAATGGGAATATTCAGTTCAAAATGAAAATACCACCATGAAAAGACTCCACTTCCTGCCAGAAGGAGCTCACGCAGTACCTCCGGTGGTATGTTCCTCGCTGATTCATGCCAAAAAATTTTACTGAAATTGGAGCAACCAACAGCAAAGGGAGCCACGTTCAGGCTCATCGTGTTATAAAGGAGCTGAGAGACAACGTGGTCGGTTTTATTAGACTCATGTCCCACCTAACTTCCATTGTTCACTTCTGCTCCGTGTCCCAGAGCACTATTCCAAGCCCAAGCTGAAATTACATTTCTGGGTTAATAACAAGCACAGGAAAATAAATCACGTCTGCCCTAGGAGTGAACCCAAAACCAAAAGCTGCCAGAGAGGAATTGTGAGTGGAGTTTAGAGGCAACTTTAATTCTGAAGGAAATGAACCTTTAAAAAGAAAATCCAAATAGCAATCTATGTAGACAAAACATTAATCTGCACTGCCTTAGTTAATTTGGGGGCCTTTCATAACTTTTGTTTTCTTAGGTGGCTATCTGCCAGAGCAGAACTTCTCTCATAAGATGGCAGATGGCTTGGGGCCAAATATAGTAACAGTAAAAACACGCGTGCTCGGGCTTCGTCCGATCCTCGGGTGTACTTCCATTTCGTAAAGGGAACTAACTCCGTAACAATCTACCAATAAAAAACGAAATTATTTGTCCAATTCCAATTCTTTCTTCTGCCTGGGTTTTAGCTTGGCCAGAAGGGTGGTAGCTTTTGAGGGCATAAACGGATACTAGTCTAGAGAGTCACACCAAGTAAAAAGGTTCTGTGATGGGTAGAGATCAGTTCTGCACATCATTGATGTGGGGACCACGCCAGAGCATGGCCGCCATGCTTTTTTCCAGTGAGGCCAATACAAGGCCCCTTTACAGGCAGTTACAAGCCCACCTCTACCTACCAGGATCAAAGAGGATACATCTACCCAGTAGCAGCAATGGTAACACCAGAGAACATCTTTGCCGCTCAAGTAGTGTGATCCAATAGAAATGTCTCAGAGACAAAGATGTAATTTTTTTAAAACATATTTTTATTGATTTCAGAGAGGAAGGGAGAGGGAGAGAGAGCTAGAAACATCAATGATGAGAATCATCAATTGGCTGCCTCCTGCATGCCCCTCACTGGGGATCAAGCCCACAACCGGGCATGTGCCCCTGATTGGCATCGAACCCAGGACCCTTCAGTCCGCAGGCCAATGCTCTATCCACTGAGCCAAACCGGCTAGGGCCACAGATGTAATTTTAAATTTTCTGGTGGCACTTAAAAAGGGCAAAAGAAACTGGTAAAATTAACTTCAATATTATATTTTATCTAACTCTGTGTATCTAAAACATCATTTTAGCATCTAATCAATATTTAAAACATTATTAATGAGACATTTTACTTTAAAAAAAATCAGGTATTGTTCAGTTGTGGCACAATAGGTGTGTCTAGTGGCTACCATATCAAACAGCAGAATTCAGAATGTTTTACAAGATAATTGTTTGCTGAGTATAAACTCAAAAAGCTTTTTATTGCACCATTCATTCACCCAATACCCCAATAAAGTGACTAAGAGATATCAGTTCCATGGTTGACAAATAAAGACTTAAAAAAAAAAAAAGCAGGGGGGAGCTGACACATTTACCTGAAATCAAACCATAAACAGACTTGGAAAAACTCTGGTCATATGAAGCCTGAAATTTGCTATAGAAGACTAAGCCTTCCATGTTTGTGCACATCCAACACAGGCTCTTCTCATTAAAAACATGGCAGATTCCCAAATCTCCACTTATTTCAAATTGATACCTAGTTTTTTCAGCTCCACAATCTCATCCATTCTTTTTCAGATAGCTGGCAACTTCATTCCCTCTCCTAGAAACCTACTCCAATCCTTCTTTTTCTATTTTGTCAAAAGCCAGACGAAACAGTTCATGCTTAAACTCTACAGCTGGAAATTATAAAGGGAACTCTGAACGAAGCTATAATAAAGCTTTTAGGTATAATGAAAAGACCACCAGACTAAATAGTAAACATTCACTTAATATTAATTTTGAATCTCGAATTAACAGGTAAACTTTTAAAAAGGAAAAACACAAAGAGTTAAAGCACCATATCCTAGAATAATATAACTATAAATTGTACTTTCAATTAAAAAGAATCAAAGTTCTTAAAAACAAAAAAAAATTCAAAAAGACCACCCTTAGAGTAAATTTGCATAGGAAAAGGACCACAGATTGAGCACAGACTACGTCTAGCCGAACCACTATGTACCTTGAGTAAATGTTTAGCTCTTCTGAGACCCATGATCATCTGTAAAAAGGATATTTCATAAACCCTAGCCCTCATACAGTTACTGCAAAGCTTACACAAAATAAAACACTGTAATCAGCACTTATTGGGGTGCTAATAAACATCAGTTAACTCCCAGCCCCCGGCCCCAGTCATTTCTTTAGGTTGTATGAAGCAGAACATACTAATACAGGGCTGAGGCCAGGAAGGACTTCATTCATATGAAGTGGAAGAACCTTGGACTTTATCCTGTTGGTGAGGAGGAGAGCAAACAACAAGGTTGTCATTGGAAACCAAAGAATTGGGAGGAGTGACATAGAGGAAGGAAAACTGTGGCAAGAAACCAAGGGAAGGGGGTCACTTTATATGACAGCAGATCAAAATAAATAAATATTACCATACTGGATTTACCCATCATGTCTGCCATCTTTTCTAGAAATACAAGAACACATGAAGAAAGAAACATCTTACAAGGATCTTCACAGAAAAGAGGAATTTATTAAACATCCTGGGGTAAGAAATGTTGGTATATTATCATTTCACTGGGAAAACTTGCCCCATGATTGGGTTTCCTATTTCACATCACAGCAGGAAACTGAGTGTGGTATCAAAGAAAAACCAGCAACGAAATCACAATATCATTTCATCTTGACTGTTCAGAGCTTAGACCCACACGGAGCCCTTCTGCTCTCTCGCAGGGCAAGGGAGAGAAGAAAATGGGGCCAAGTCCCTAACCAGCATCTCATCCCACCCAACACCACTGCGAGGGACATTAAAAAGAGAAAAATTCAGATCTTTCCCGTTATTGCCGTGTGATTAACTTCCTAGTAATATTTTAAGGTGAAAATAAATGGCCTTTGAAAAATCTACCAGAGAAATGGCAAAAGCTAAAGAGAGAAGACAGGAAGAGAGAGGTTTGGGAGTGAAGGCGTAGGATCAAGACACCAAGTAGAAATTCTAGGGGAAATCCAATTCTAGGAAACCCAGTGGGAAAGTATTACAAATGGACAGTTTGGGGATTAAAAGCAGAAATGTGTGCCTTTCCAGAAAATCGTGTTATTGAAGTTTTAAACCCTTTTAACCTTTTTTTTTTACTCATAGTCTACAGCTCAAAAAAGTACTCTAAATAATTAGCTGCCATAGATAAGGGAAAGCAATTCTTAGCACTAAATACCAGGTAGGGTTGGCGGCAATCCAACATCAAGACTTCTTTGCCGGGCACCATCCCTCACGGGTACTGTAGTTTCTTCTTTATATCATAACTTATTCTTGGGTTTCCACATTAACTCAATCAATTTCTCTCAAAAAAGGTTCAGTTCTTAATCACTTAATCAGTTCTTAATTGTCTCCACTTTCAGTTAGATAAATAACCAGAAATGGGATCTGAATGTCTGCAAAAAATCACTTAGCTTTCAAACAGAAGTGGAAAATCTGCCTAAGACAATATCAGAAACTTCCAAGGGGTTTTAAAATTAATCAAGGCTACTCTTCTAATACTAGTATCAGAGGCAAACAAATCTATTTTTGTCCTATGTGAAAAAAGGATATGAAAGAGGGAAAAATAGAAATGTAGATGAGTGTCATAAAAATGTATCAAGAGCACCTGCCCAACCCTTTGCATAATTACAGGACACAACAATAAGATGAGATGGAGTTCTGTCTGTGAAGAAACAATAAGCTCTGAACTCTTAAGGTCTCTATAACTTGTACTTTTTTTTTTTAAGTTGGAAGAGGAATATTCTAATAGCCTTTTCATATAATTATGAATATTCTTTGATATGACACCAAAATTTGACAAGTTGTAATCCCTCCCCCCACTCCCTCCCGTGTTTATTGAGATATGACTGACATATAACATTGTGTAAGTTTAAGGTACACAATGTGATTATTTGATATACATATATATTGCAAATAATTACCACCATAAGACTAGTTAACACATCCATTACTTCACATAGCTACCATTTGTGTGTGTGTGTGTGTGTGTGTGTGTGTGTGTGATAAACACATTTATATCTTTACATTTAAGCATGTTCTTTTCCTCTCAGATATTTATTACACATCTACTATGTTCCAGGGAATGTGCTGCTTTCCCCAGATAACCTCCGAGTCCGTCAGTAATGCTCTTCTCTCACAGCTGCCCCAGCAACTAGCACGGTGCTGAGTTCAGAGCCACGCTCAGTAAGTACCTGTGAACACATTCCTTTAAGTGAACATGGGAGAACGTAGATGGTCAGCACATGACCTCACACAGAGACCTTGTGAAAGGTGCCTACTTCTATAGCAGCCTGCCTCTGGTTACCAATCCGTGCCCCCGCCCCCGCCTGGCCGATTCACCACATGGTACATACCTGTCCACTGAGGGGGGCAGCGGCAGTTGTAGGTATTGACCCCATCCACACAAACCCCTCCGTTCTGACACCGGTGGTTGGGGCAGTCATCAATATTCCGCTCACAGGTGCTGCCTTCAAAACCTGGTGAGAGAGAGCAAGAGAAAATGATGAACTCTCTGAAGAAGAACTGATCTGTCTTCTCCCGCAGAACAGGGTCATCGAACAGCCCTACTTCACTATTTCAGTTCAGCAGCCAGCAGCTGCTCAACCCAGGACTCACTCCATTAACCAAAGTCCCCAATCTTCTGCCTTCTCTTGCCTCCAGCTTAGCTAGACAGTTGGAGTGACTCATTATGCCAATGGCATGCTTTCGCAGTTACCTCATAAGTATTTCAAAGTGTTTCATGAAATAAAAGCCCAGTGAAGATAAATCTCCACTTGGGACAGCTTTTTACTGGTTCTTAACAAAAGGATATTAGATTTACCCCAGCTCCATGCTAGATTAATGAGAAGAACAGATAAAAGCTTATCTCATTAGATTTAAATTCCTCCCCCCGCCCCTCCCGCCCCTTAGGATGATTGTTTGGGAAAACTAGGTGGGGATAAAAGGCGTAAGAAAAACACTGAACTTAAAGTATGAAGATATCAGTCAAGTTCCAACCACACTGCCTATTAGTATAAGCTACTTAACACACAGCAAATTCCCAACTCTGAATCAGCTTCCTCGTCTGTAAAATGAGGCTGGCTCCACCTGCTCGGCCTGCTTTTCTGGGTTGTTATAAGTGCCACATTACAAGCCAAATGCAAAAGAAATAGAAAAAGCTATCTTAAAATCGGGTGGCATTCTTACTAATTAAACTTCCCAAACCTTCAAATTCTTCACCTCCCTCGCTACATTTATAGCACTGCTTCCTTCCTCTTGATTTTCGCCATTTATGAAAAATGAAACTAGCACCTCAAACTTCACCCCAACTAACCACAGTAATTTATATATTAGGCTTTTCCCCTTCTCTCTCCTTCCTACCAAATCCCTTAACTATTAAAATAGAAGACTACCAGCTTTAAAACGAGAGGATGTTCCCTAAGCATTGTCCTACTTGAAATATAGGACGACTATGTACTTGGCCTCTTCAAAATGTCCCTTAAGGTTCCTCTCTCACACTCAACACACTTACTGAGTCTTATATGAGGCTCGGGGGATATAACAGAGAGTGCAAGAGACAGAGCCCCTGCTTTGGGGGCATTTACAGACCAGTGGCTGGGAAAGACACCAATCACACCTTGCTTTTTGTTCATTTTACCGCAAGCTACTGTGGTAGTTAGCCTACACCTGCTCTGTTACACTGGAACACGGCTCGTTTCTCTGAATGCGGCGGCAGTCATGTGCATGAGTACAGACCAAATGGCCACAGTGATTTCCCAGAGACCAAAGGAAATCAGCTCAGAGAAGATGGGGATGAATGAAAGCTTGACTGAAGAGAATTCTGGGCCTCTCTGTATTTGGTACTCAGGCCATTTAAGCAGATGAATCACGAAGTAAGCTTGAGAAAGACTATGAAAATTTTTATAGACTCAGATTTGTAAAAATTTATAATGCTACTCGTATATCTGTTTAATTCCTATGAACATCTTACAAACAGGCTGAGTCAGAAAATGTTATGATAAAGCGAGGGCAGATCTGCAGATTTGCCAAGAAGCAGTTCCTGAACAAGAGCTGAGGTCTGTGTTCCTAGTCCAGTGCTCTTAATGGAAACAGTCTTGAGAGAAGTGAAAGATTCCATTTCAGGGTGTGGGAGGGCCCCAGGGCTCCTGGCCCACCACAGCTAGAACTTGTGTGGGCTGGTGAGGTTCTAGAACTGGTAATGGTCATCCTCCCCCTAGTTTGATCTCTCTGGTGACTAAGACTAAATATTATTGACTAGGGTGTCAGTGAGATGTAACCAAACTATAAGGATTGGAAACTGTGACCCTGAATTCATACAGGCCAACACTACAACCAACTGAATTCACCAACCACAGACAAATTATGAAAGCAGAAGCATTTCAGCATAACCACAACATATAAGAAAGAAAATGTTCTCTTTGTATGACTGACTGACTGTTTCTGAGGTAGTTCTTCCCTGCCAACAGGTAGAAGGAGAGAGATGAGGAGAAATTCATGGTCAAAGTGTGGCCTCTGTGGCCAAACTGCCTAGGTCCCCTCTCCTCCTTGCCATGCAATACCTGAGTGAACAGAAAAATACTAAACCTTTCCTCTCTGGGGGAATTAATAGGACCTACTTCAAAGGGATGTTGTAAAGATTAAATGAGTTAGATATTTAAAAAAAACCTTAATTCAATAAATGGTGCTGGAACAATTAAATATTGACATGCAAAAGAATAAAATTGGACCCCTTCCTCACACCATGCACAAAAATTAACTCAGAATGTAAGAGTCAAAATTATAAAACTCTTAGAAGAAAACTCAGGAGTAAATCTTCATGACTTTGGATTAGGCAATTGTAACTTTTTAGATATGATACCAAAAGCACAAGCTTTTTAGAAATAATACCAAAAGCACAAGCAACCTATATATACAATATAAAATAAATAATAAAATATACAATAATAAAAAGACAACCCAATTACAAATGGGTAAAGGATCTGAATAAACATTTCTCCAAAGATGATATACAAATGGCTGATAAGCACATGAAAAGATGCTTGTTCAAAGGGATGTTGTAAAGATTAAATGAGTTAGATATTTAAAAAAACCTTAATTCAATAAATGGTGCTGGAACAATTAAATATTGACATGCAAAAGAATAAAATTGGACCCCTTCCTCACACCATGCACAAAAATTAACTCAGAATGTAAGAGTCAAAATTATAAAACTCTTAGAAGAAAACTCAGGAGTAAATCTCTGTGACTTGGATTAGGTAAAGCTTTCTTAAATATGACCAAAAGCACAAGCAAAGGAAAACAATGTGAGTGTCACCAAAATTAAAAACATTTGGGCTTCAAAGGAAACCATCAAGAATGTGAAAAGACAGCCTCCAGAATGAGAAAAAATATTTGCAAATCATATATCTGATTTGTATCCAGGAATATTAAAAACTCATATATATAATGAAAATACAACATATACAATATAAAATAA